AAAAAAAAAAAAAAAAAAGGAAAGCATTGTTTTTTTTCAATAAAATTAATTTTCTAATTTTGTTGACATTGAATTTCGTCTATTATGCGATTTATAGATATTTATCATATCTATCAGTTTAAACTTATTTAGTATCATATCTACCAATTTGAACTTGTTTAGTTCATTGGATTTTTTATTATTGGTTTGTCGTTTTGGGTACAGCTAAACGACAACTATGAGTTTGAACTTCGAAAAATTATTATTGACAGAGAGGATCTCGACCTAAATGAGTATAAAGAAGATTTTCGTCTTGCAGTTAGTTGACTAAACTTTCTTTTTTTCTTTTTTCGTAATCACTGATCTTTTTTTTTTTTTTTGCACATTTTGCTGACAAATAAAAGACATACTAAAAGTTCAGAACTACACAAAGTATTTTTTAATCAGTTTTTTAAGTTTTTGAAGTGATATTTTCAGTTATCTGTAGGACTTTTATTTATGTTTGGTTTTGGCTTGGCAATAGCAATAGTTGGTATTATTGGTTCAGTTGGAACGTTACTGAGACGGCGATTTATCACTGGATTTTATGTCTCACTACTCATATCGATCATACTTGTTGACTTTGCTGCTGCAATATTTTTATTGTCAAATAAGCAGGGTGTCCGTTTTTTTAAACTACTTTCAGCATTTACTTAGTTAAAAAAACCTTTTTATCACTCATACAGAGCCAGATATTTTAGCTTTTCTCGGAAAACCTATCATTTTAGTTATTTTTAGAAGTTCATTGATTATGGTTTAATAATAATTACCCTGAAGAACTAACAACTGATTTAATGTTAAAAAGTTATTAGGTCATAATCATCGTCTAAAAAATAAACGGTTTTAGATAAAAGAAACTGTATTAGAATATCTTGAACTAGCTTCAAAAAAATTTGATATGCCTGACTTTGTCATTATTCGACAACAGGTTTGTCTTGATTTTGTCAATAGGTCTTTTAATCATACCTACTTATACCTACATTAAGCCGTCCTAATAAAACGAAAATGGTAAAACAAAAATGAACTTGATTGAACTACTATTTTCAAAAACTCACTAACTTTTTGGTGCGTCATTTTAAAATTTTTTTAGTTCAACTGTTGTGGTATAGATGGAGAACAAAATTTAGAATGTTTCCCAGACTCGGTAAGTTCTTCCTGTATCGTTTGCTGAGTAGTTGTTTTGCAGTAACCACCATGTGTTTATAATTTTGTCTAAGACCTTTTGCTTCTTGCGCAATGTGATTATTTTTTGTAAATTACAATGAAGTTTCTGTTGCTGATAACAATTCTTAGTGCAGAAACACAGATAAACGATTGAGAAGCTTACATTTTTAAAGGTTCTAATATATGAGTTCAAAGCTCAGAACTATTCTCTTAATTATAAGCCTTATCGCTTTGGCAATAAGCCAGAAGTAAGTAAATAGTCAAAAAACTTATGACTAAAGCCGATACTTATTTGAAGGTAACCTGTACCACGGAAGTTTGGAAGCGTATAAATAGCAGGATAAAAAGTTTAGTAACGGCTTTTTTTGTGGGGATATGGATACGGATAGTCGCAGCTGGCACTGCTATATATTTCTACATAAAATTATAAAAACACTTATGGTAAAGTTGTGTCACTTATGTTCATTGCATTAAAGGTGAAAAATCGGCTAAAACTTTTGGTTATAAGTTTTTAGTCTTTCCGATTAGCAAAAACTTCCAAATTTTTTTCGCTTATTTGGTGATTACAGAGCAGTCTGATCTGCCTGCTTGACACCCTACGAATGTGTTGAATGAAAATTGTAGGCAAATAGATTGATGAAATTGCTTTTGGTAATTGACTACCGATTCGCCTTCCAACCGTAATAATTATAAAATAAAAATGTCAAACTGTTGACAAATGATTCATCTTATCAGAAAAGAAAAAAGACACTTTTGTTGCTTCAAAGTCTTGCTCAATCGTCTATCGGTCTTAAGTAACTTCCAGTTGTTCTTACTACTGTTTGCTTGTTTTGTCAACTCGTTAAGCTTGTTTTTTTTCAACACAATTTAGTAATGCTGTAGTTTCGCTTTTTGGGAGATAATAATGGGTTGATAAACACAAACCTAATGGTATGGTCTTGGTGCTCAGATATTTGGTTTCAGATTTGATATGTGATATAAATCTAATAATATCTTGTTGTTATTCGGTTTTATTGCAAGCAGTGAAGTTGACTTAGGCTTAACCATGTTACTAATTTATATACTTCAGTCAAACCTGGGCTGCCGGTGTTCGCTAAAATTGATACATTTAACTCTGACAACACATAAGAAATATCGTGTTGCAGTCGTTTACTCTGAACTTCTAATTACATTACCGAAGTTAATCAACAAAAATAGATAAGAACTATAACTGCTGTTGATCAAGAACTAATATTTAAAAAAAAGAACAAAGAGATCATGCTAACATTATCATATAATGAGACAAGAAATTGCACTAGTTACAGATTAGTATTTACACAATATTTGGAGAATAAGATCATCAAATGGCATTAAACAGAAGCGGTACACGTATGTAAACCCAAAACTCTGTTTCAACGTACATTTGGTGTCAAAGATTTAATTTAGAAAAACTGTAAAAAATATCATTTTCTTTCAGTAGCAATAAATGACACCATTATTACAAATTACGTTACAAACAAACTGGAACGATCCCGACTTTAAAAACCCACATTTTAGTAATATCCTAAATAAAATACTACTCTTAAAATTCTGTAATTTTTTGGAAAGAAGAAGTTTAGAAATAAAGTCAAGACACAACGATGTCGATCACTGCTTTTTGAAATGAATTGTAACATTCAAAATGCGAACAATTAAACAAAACCTCAAAATATTGTGGCCTGGAAACAGAGTTGAATACAGATTAAAAACTTGAATAGCTTACGGAAAAAAGAAATAGACTAGGTACAGTTGACATCTATAAATAAATTTAAAAGCTCAACAAAAGTAAGTTCAAATACAGAAAAAGTAAAAAAATTCTTGACTGGTTGTTAATCAGTCAACGTCGACGATTGTCTGATCAAACCTTTGATGTATGTAACACAAGCAGAAGAATTCAATCCTAATTTGGCTACGTTGTGTTGTGAAAACATTGCTGGATACCAGCAGATGACTGATTTCATTGAATATGAAGTGGATTCAAAAGCAATGAAAAAAAAGCTTTGTAAAAAATTCATAGTTTATAAAAGAAAAAATTTAGAGCAATGTGAAAATAACATCAAATCATTTTTCAATAAAAAAAATCTTTTAGATATCTTTTCATACTAAATTAGCACTGAATCCCTTTAAGACTAGTTTAAACGCAAGACATCGCGACTTTATCTGAATTATAAATTAAACAAGTAATAAATTCCTTCTCCGTTTCTTGCCTATTTACTGCTTCAGTTCTGGTGCTTGTTAAAATTCTTCTGTAAACAAGTTCTTTGCTTGAACTCAGGACAAAAAATTAATTGTTCATTCAACGACTCTTCCCTTATTTCCTTTTACTCACCTAGTTTGATCAAGAAAACAACTGTTAGCTTTCAACAGTGAAACTGTGCTCACGATGACCTGACTCCTAAAGCAATATTTTTGGAATGTATAGATTGATAAATGAGAAAGATTGAGACTTGCCAAAAAATGTTCTCAGTCTGGAATAAATTGCTTTTTCTTTTACCAATTTTAAGACTGACAAATCTTATAATACAAGAATTAAAAAGCTACCTAAACATAAGTTTTCCAACCCAAAAACCAAGTTTACCTCGTAGTTACCTTTCTCTACTTGAAATCTCTTTTTACAAAATTGTTCTAGTTTAAAATAACCGCATCAGCAGCAGTTTAGCTTTTTACGGAGTAGTGCAGTTCAGTCAATAAATTATATATAACAGATCGTCGATAAAACCAAATACTGATTCAGCATCAAGATCAGTAAAATAAGGAAAAAAAA